TTGATAAGTTTACAAGAGGTTTTAATTGCTGGGTGTTATATTGCGTGAATACTATTTTTCGTATCTATTTTTTTTAGATTTTCGTAATTCACCAGGAATATATGGCCTGGGAATAGCGGTAGCATTATCACGGAACTATTAATGCCAGTAATAAAATTGAATTTTCTAAGTCTGGACATTATTGTAACTCATGGTCCTTAAGGTGTACAGCAGTTATAGCTGGCAAGCCACACAGATCTACAATAACTGCTTGAGTAGGTCTCGACAAGCAATCAATTATAACCTTTTGATCTCCCTTCATGTGGCCTATGTCTGATATATATCATGTGAGATTTTTTAATTGCCGCTGATATCTGACTTAGCAAAGTTTAGACCACGGAATGCGCCACACAGAGGTTTATGGTCAGTTAATAATAAAATTGTTTTCCTTCGATATGTTTAAAATAGAACGTAGCTGAATATTCTTAACCACGTGTAGAGGACTGACCCATTCACTATTTGAAGATGTAATGACATTTTTTTTTTTTTTTTTTGAAATTTCGAAAATTCCTTCTGTACTTCTTTAGATGGTAATATTCGTAAAAAATTGTTTAACAATATGCCGTTGCTTATCCAATTATTTGCAATTGACAGCATTTCGTGAAAGTAAATTGACGGTCGGCCTGTAATAAAGGAGACGGACATTAATTTATCTAGCAGTTCTGGCTTCGTTCGTGATTCAATTAAAGTCTTTTTAACGCATCGTGGTTGTGAGTATCCAGAATGTTACTGGGTATTTTTGCCACTATTTCAGGAGCTAGAGGCGCCGTAACTTTTATCCAATTTGGTGATCTGGGAAGTTCCGTTTCTCAGGTTGAATTGAGATTCAATAATTGTGAACCAACTGGTAATGTTAGTTGTATTAATTCAGAGGACTTAATTTGTTATTTGTTGGAGAGTCGGCTCGTGGTACTTTTGCTCCATTTTGTTTTTGTTTTTTTTTTGTATTACACACACAGATATATATATATATATATATATATATATATATATATATATATAATTTCGAATAAATAATTATATATATATTTGCTCTACTCTGTATTGAGCACTCTTTAAAGAATAGTAATTGTTGGTTATTGGAATTTATTCCGTATACACCAATCCTATATATATATATATATATATATAAAAGAAATATGTTGTAGTGGTTCCAACGAGAGAAAAGTATGTATATTAAAAAGAATGTATATTAAAAAGAAGAGGGGTGCCGCAAACGTTTTTGGTTGTAATGTGGATTTATTGAGAAAAAATATTATACTTTGTTTTACATAATTTCACGACACGTGTTTCTGGTCTGGTCTCGCAACCGTCTTCAGGTGAAAGTGGAGATTTTTACATATTATTAAAAATAATTAATTTTTCTTCATGTTCAATGTGGAATATTCTCGATATGAGACATTCTGTTTGTGTGTTGGCAATCCGAATTTTCTTTCTAGAATTGTCATATATATATATATGAAAAATTTCTCACAGTTAACCTGTAGAAAAAAAAACCCGCTATGTATAAAGGTAAAAGAGAATAGGAAAATTGTATTATTAGCCGAGGCGTTTCTGCGCGTGAATGTACTTGACGTAATTTTCAGTTGACAAAATGAATACAATAGCGTATTCTAAATTCATCTAGTTGCTAAGGACATTTTGTTTGTTGCTAATAGTTAATTTGTTTTCAATAAATTTTTTCCGTTTTTGCCTTAAAAAAAGTTCACATTGGACGAAACGCGTCGGCTAATAATACAGTTTTTCTATTGTCTTTTACGTTTATATATATATATTTCTCGCCAATTAAATCATTAACCTTTGCATTTGTTTTTGTGTGAATAATTCATGAATATATATATATATATATATATATGTATACAGATGATCAAAGAATATGACGTTCTTTTATCAAATCACCCCAAGGAAATCAGTACAGCCACTAAGACCCAAAGGGTTACTGGGTGTTAGAAAATGTGCGTAATTACGTTGTCAAGTAGAGAAAGCAATAGAAGAACAAGATTTAAAAAGTCAGAAGATAACGATTGACATTACACTTAAATTTTTGAAGATCAAAGTTGACTGGAAAGCCAGAAGACGGGAGAGATTTCTTCAAGTGAGAAGTACAAGAGAAAAACTGTTAGCATAGAATTTACGATTTCATCTAGCGATTTCAACTGTAAAATGATGAGACCTTGCCGCCAATCTAGTACTGCGATTAAATTTATCAAGTCTAGCTACCATAGTGGAAATTAATATATATTTTGAAAATGCGAAAATTTAGCACAAGGCCAAAAATAGGGGGGCAGGGGGGAAGCTGGTTTGCAGTCTGTCTTATCTTACACTTAGCTTACATTTATTGACCCAAATATACAACTGTATTCCTTACACCGCACCAACACATTCTTACTTACCATTCTTACTTACCATTTTTACTTACCATTCTTACTACAGCCACTATAATATCTCAAGTCTCTAGGAAGTTCTAACTAGTTCCCATATGTATAATTTGTCTGGAGGTGGCGAATAAAAACACATATAAAAATGAAACCTCAATGAATATTTACAATGATTACAATTGTAAATATTCATTGGGGTTTAATTTTTTTAAGTTGTTATCCTAGAGGAATGTTCATCTGAACAATTACCATGAAAGTATTTATAGAAACGGTGGGAAACGGACTAAGAAGTCATAAAACACAAACGTTGTGGAACTGCCAATGATCTACTGTCTGGTGGTTAGAAATAAAATGAGAAATCAATTTTCTCTTATGTCGACATTAACACTCTTGTTTGGAGAGAGATAAAGTAGTTCAACAAAAGACAAGGTTTTGTTATTCCATATTGTCTTGGGAAAACAAGAGAGATTATTTATCGCAAATCATTTGACCAATTCCAACAACGTGTTTATAGTGCTGCGCACCATAGATTTAAAGAAGCGCTGACCACTGAAAAGCCAGAAAAAAGAAAACCTGAATATAAATTCTCCGCGAGCGTAAATGTTTACTGGTCCTTTTAAATCGGCAATATATAAAGTATATGCTCCCGCTATATATATATTTTTTAGAGGGACGTTCACCTTGCACAAGACATGGGGCCAAAGGTTTACGTTAAGGGGTAGTTTATATGGATAGAAGGGGGAAGATAATGGCTAACTCTAGACTTGAACAGGTTAAAATTGCAGTGATTGGGGAAACATCCTGTTGGGTGTAGATTCCATGGAGCAGTGGTTCGCGGGCTGTTTCTGATGGAACTTACTTCCCGCCGAGGGAATATGGAGGTGGTTTGCTCTTCTTTAAGTAGACAGGCGGGTCCTATCCGTGAATGTTAGACATGGCGGAATTAAAAAATGTAGCTCGTCTGAGCACTTTCCATGGTAGTAACGATAGAGCAGTGAGAGGATCGCCACATCCCACCTGTGTGAGAGAGAGGTCTCCAATAAGGACCCGGAGTCGCATTTGAACCCTATAAAGACTGGAAAGTGATGCCTGAGCAGGTCCTGTCCATATATGGCAACACTATTCCATTTTCGGTCTGATTTGGCTCTTATAAAAAATAAAGGATAGCAATTTGAGGCCCAATATTCTCTCAAAGCACGGAGCTATATACGACTGTTTTCGCAGATTAAATGTATAAAAATGAATTCCATTTTTTTTTCTTTTAAAGAAAAAGATCACTCATCGGATATTATAGACCGGTGCTACAGAATCACAAACAAAGGATCTTGACTAAATAACAAAAACCACAATATTTAATGTCTTTCAAATGCATCAACTATTTAAATGGGTGGCCAATGTATAAAAAATAGTAAATAATGATAAAAACAAGATTTTGATCATCCGCTCTACTTGAACAAAAGGTTAGTAAGGAAACTCCCAGCTTTACTAGAAAGAGCGATAACAATTTCTAGAAGCCTATTTTCCGATAACCTGAGAAATATTCTATAAATGTTGACATCTCGGCTTCAGTACTTCCCAACCGTAATGTAACTTTTTCTACAAATACTTTCATGGTAATTGTTCTGATGAACTTTCCTCTATGGTACCTAGACTTTATGAATTTAAGTGCAGTACTAGATTGGCAGCAAGGTCTCATCATTTTATGCTTGAAATGGCTAGATGTAACTGTAAGTTCAATGCTAACAGTTTCTTCTCTCACCTTCTCTAGAAATACTTTCATGTTAATTGTTCTGATGAAGTTTCCTCTATGGTACCTAGACTTTATGAATTTAAGTGCAGTACTAGATTGGCAGAAAGGTCCCATCATTTTATGCTTGAAATGGCTAGATGTAATTGTAAGTTCTATGCTAACGGTTTCTTCTCTCGCACTTCTCGCGTGTGGAACTCTCCTCCTTTTTCTTTCTTTCCAGCCAATATTAATCTAAATATTTAAAGGTCAATCATTTTCTTCTGTCTTCTTAATTACTTAACTTCCATTTTTTTCTCTCCCCTTAATGTTTTCCTAATATTCTTTCACGCTCAGTAACCTCTTGCATCTTAGTGGTTTTATTGCTTTGATTGGGGCAAAATGATTTAATAAAACTACCAGTAACACTAACTGTTCAGTCAGTGAATAACGAATGTTTCCTGTAAGCGAACGCCTGTCCTCATTATTACCATGTAAAAATGAGTTCTATACCAAAAAGCCGCATCAGCACATGACGTGTACTTATTTGGCCATTTTGTGTTTGACATGTAGTGTCTTCATTTAATCATGTTATGTTACGAAATATGAGACCAATTCTTTGATCATGCTCCTTTAGTCATGCCATATTTTTGTATATGTTACACATGTTTGGTGGTGCTTGTTAAAATCTGGGGAAATTATTTTCTTATTTTCAAACAGAAGAATTAACGACTCCCGATATTAATCTAATAATTATGAAAAGCCGTCATACACAGCTTGTATGACATAAATGTGGTTAGGTCAGCGGAAGATCAGAAAAGGGGATTGCAATATTGTCCAACTATCCGCCAATTAGGTCATTGCGGATTTATAATAAAATAATCCGAATCCACACATGCATGCACATACACACAATAAGAATAGGAATAAAATAGATAGATAGATAGATAGATAGATAGATAGATAGATAGATAGATAGAAGCAGGCTGAGACTGTCTGACAGATAGATAGATAGATAGATAGATAGATAGATAGATAGATAGATAGATAGATAGAAACAGACTGAGACTGTATGATAGATAGATAGATAGATAGATAGATAGATAGATAGATAGATAGATAGAAACAGACTGAGACTGTATGATAGATAGATAGATAGATAGATAGATAGAAACCGGCTGACACTGTCTGACAGATAGATAGATAGATAGATAGATAGATAGATAGATAGATAGATAGATAGAAACAGGCTGACACTGTCTGACAGATAGATAGATAGATAGATAGATAGATAGATAGATAGATAGATAGATAGATAGATTCAGGTCCTTCTCAATCCTTTTGTAGTAACCTCTCCCATACTGACCACGCCTTCAGGGGCGTAGCCGTACTCACAACGTTTGACTAATTGCGAGTTAGTGAGTTTAGTTAATCCATAGTTGGAGATTCTGACTTCTGAGTTGTCCTAGACTGGTTGCTATGCAAGGCTATAAGACCCACTCTGTACCCCTGCTATTTACTCATAGCTGGAAGCAGAAAAGATGGTTCATTTACCCGTAAGTGAATGTAACGAACACAACTGGAATTCGAACTCGGTTCTCCGATTCCGTTATCCATTACTCCACATGTAATAGTCATAGAAAAAAATTACCGAACCCGTTTTGCACGGCCGAAAAAAAAAAAAATTAACGTCTGGTTTCCACTTTTCTCCATTTCTTTATCAACAGCAGTAGCAGCAAAATACATCGGCAAAATAATTTGGCAACATTTTACTCTTGAAATAAATCTTTAAAAATTTTTTTACCAGACTTTGCTAAATCCAAATAATAATAATAATAATAATAATTATTATTATTATTATTATTATTATTATTATCTTTGATTTCTGGCGTTTACACATTTCTTTCCGGGTCCCGCCCAGGGACCTAAGGTTAAAAATGGCATGACACTTTCCACTGACAAAAAAATTAAATTACATAGATAAAGCTCTTCGTAAAGTGTGGGCTGTACTTGTCAGAACAATTTTTTGTATCTCCTTGAGGCATGGATTTCCAGGAATCCCTTCAATTAGTTTACTGCAATCTTTTCCAACCAGTCCTAAGGCTCAAACTACAACAGGAATTGTTGATGTTCCCATGTGCCACATTTTCGAGATTTCTATTTCAAGATCCTTGTATTTTGATAACTTTTTGAATATCTTCAAAGATACATTGCAGTCTGCAGGGACTGCCTTATCAATAAGAAGGCACTTTTTTGTGGTCTTTAATAACAATTTATTATTATTATTATTATTAAAATCTCTCTCTCAATCTTTCTTTCTTTCTACCGTTATATCAAAGGTCGTTTTCGTTCATTTAACATGTAAACTTGTCTCTCTTTCATTCTCCTTCCTCTCTCCCTTATTCTTCTTCTTCTGATCTTCTTCTTTCTTCTTCTTTTCCACCGTGTCTTTCTCTTCCTCCGTATTTTTCTTCATGCTCTGCCTTCTCATTCTCCTTATTTTTTTCTTCTCATTCTCCTCCTTCTTATTCTACACACCGTCACCTTTCTTCTTCGTCGTCTCATCTCCTCCTCCTTATTTTACACCTCCTCCTCTTCCTCCTTTTTTTTCCTCCTTCTTTTTCATTCCATTTAAATCCAGGTTGATTTTACGATTCACATGAACGAGCAGTAATAGTCCCTTGTTAACCGACTGTTTAATGCTGAGTTCGCAAAACAGTCTTCACTGTTCTGTGAAAAGGATATCGTTACTCTTTCTTCCAATAAATCTGCTCCCCTATTTTTCAACTGAAGACAAGTCCGTCTCTCTAATTCCACTATTTTCTGATAGTTTGTATCACTGAACAAATTAAAATGTTTCGCAATAAATATATTTGTATAACAATGTTAAAAACAGTGAGCATTCAAAATGGCAATCACTCTTCCAGCGAGATGGATAATAAAATGGAAGAAAGGAATCGATAAAACAAATTCTTCGAGTCATAAATTGTTTTTTTTTTTTTTAATCTATTTGATCACAAAAAATACTTTCTAAATAAAAGCATAAAAATAATTAAAATTTGGCAACTTTTAGCTTAGATATCAAGAGCTGTTCGAGAAAAACACTAAATGAAAGACTTGGCAAAGAATACCAGGGAAGCTGTTCCAAAATCCTTTTCATTTCATGACATTTTTCACCTAATGCCATTGAACTGTAAATAATATAAATGAACAGTAGCAACAGAATTGATTATCCAATTAATTTGAATCACAAGCATTTTGGTTCAGTTTAGAGCTTCATTCAACTAATGGTCTGTGCACTGATAACATCGCAAAGTGGAAATAACAAATACTTCGGAATTTATGTGCATGGCTTTTAAGTTTAACAACCCAAGGAATTCTTTCTGAAATTCTATAATGCCATTTCCGACAGTTAAAATGGTGCCAGAAGTGGCGCCCTTAATGGTACTGATGCCAAACGCAGAAGATTGGTCCCTTCTATCATACTCAGATGCCCAAACCCCACCACACAAAAATCCCCTTACACTCTTCAAACTGGACGTGTTGCCCATGATAAAGTGGCCTTTAGATTCTCGACGTTTCATGTGTCAGGAGTCTCTGGTCAGCCTGTTCTTGGGCTGTCCAATGACAGTTCTCAAGTTATTTGTCTATCTGCAATTACGTCCATCTGTTGGTCAATTTGACCATCACTTGTAGACTAATTTATATTCTTACCATGGACGACACTGAGTGGGGTAGTGACTGATGCAACATGTTTGAAGCCAAAGGGGTGGGGGACGAAATGTGCAGCTCCGAGAAACGAAAACTCTAGGTGAAAAGGGGGAAAGCTAGAAAGCCGAGAGAATGAGATATGTGAGACGGTGAAAAGGAGAACATTACGAAGAAGAGAAGAGCATGGAAGAAATATTGAAAGGTGAAAAGAATAGAAATTAAAAACTGAAAGTCGGTATGTATTGAAGCAGCAAAGAATGGAAGAGGGATGACTCAAATGTTGGCATTTAAATGAGAAGCGTAGAAAAATACAAGCAAGAGATTAAATAACAAATGAAGGCAAAGGTGGTGTATATATATATATATATATATACATATATATATATATATATATATAATTATTTATTTAAAAATATGATTCCAACGCTACATAAGAGTTCTCATGTTTCAAAACAAGAGCCAAAAACTTCAATTTAATTATTTGAATTAAATTGAATTGAAGTACTAAGCTCTGTTCCATCTTCAAGCGAATTTTTTTTTTTTTTTTGAAATAACTAATTCCTGAAATTTACGCGTTTTATAAGCATATTCATTATTGGTAACGCCTAGACGAATTATTTAAAGAAAAGGGGCGTAAGGGTTAATAATTTGTATCAATATCTCAGTTACATTCAAAAACGTCAAGTCAGGGTAAGGTTGGGGTGTCTAAATTTAAAGCGGAAGATGACATCGTCTAGTCTGGTTAAGTGTCTATGGAGATTTATATATTTTTTATTTTATTTTTTATTTTTTTCTTAAAGGGTTTTGTGTATATAAAAAACTGTCATAATTCGCTAACATTTGGTTTTTTTGACGACTTTATAAAGGGTTATCTTTTTTTTCTTTTTTTTTGGTAGGGAATTTAAACTATTTATTTAGACTATGAAGTTTGAAAATTATTTTATTGTTTGTTTGTTTTTATGCTAATTATTCAATGCGAAAATTTGATGATGTCGGCAAAAAAATTTCGCTTAAAGATGGAACAGAGCTTGGTACTTTAATTCAATTTAATTCAAATAATTTTATTGAAGTTTTCGGCTCTTGTTTTGAAACATGAGAACTCTTATGTAGCGTTGGAATCATACTTTTAAATAAATAATTATATTTATGCTCTACTTTTGTATCGCGCACTATTTTTTTTAAAATAATAACAAAAATACTAAAGAACTTTGGGTTATTTACCTAACGAGTTCTTTCCTATTTTCTATATATTTTTACACACACACACACATATATATATATATATATATATATATATATATATATATATGTGTGTGTGTGTGTGTGTGTGTGTGTGTGTGTATGGTTCGATGGATAAATTGTCGTCTAAATGACTCAAAAATGAAGATAACACTGACATCTCATTTTAACAGATATACTTACCAAAATTGCACAAAAATATCATGAAATACTAAAGAGTAAATGTATTCAATAAAATCGCCATTACACTCAACCACAGCCTACAGACGACTCCAGAATATCCAGCAACTATTCTGGACGGTCTCCTTGTTTAAGGTGGTGAATGCTGCCATAATCTTTGTCCTCAGTTCATCATTGGTATTACAAAGAGTTTTGTTGGTCTCCCGCTCAAATGCCCCCCGCACATAATTAAGTGGGTTGTAGTCTGGAGATTTAGGTGGCCTTATGTATTGGGTAATGTGGTCATAGATATGCTCTGACTGCTGTCACTGGTTTCTCCTGCTTGTGTGGCATGGTGTAGAGTTCTGTTGCCAGACATAGGGTTTTCCAGCAGTCACTCTCTTGACTCAGGGAAGCGTTACCTCCTCAAAGCATTTAATGTAGGCTTCCTTGTTGAGTCTGAGGCCCTGACCAAAACATCCGGGAGTTTTTTTCTTATCAGAACGACCAGAGTCAGTTTTCTCTGCTGCCGTACATTCGTAATCCCCATTAGACTAATCTATCTCTTTCTGAATCCTCAGCACTGTCCTCAGATTGACACACATACACTTTGAGATGTTCGTATTCTGGTGCGAATGCCAAGCAGTACAGCATGCCATTTCCAAATTTCTAGCGAAGTTAATTGACTTATTATTTTCTCACAGACGGTGCCCAACTAGATCTACTATACCGTGCAGTCAGTAAAATCAAAAACATACAACACGCATGCGCGAAATGAAAAATCAAAAATGGTGACAATTTACCATTCTCAAAAAATAACCCTACTATACTGTGCATTCAAATTTAGCCAAAATCAAATGGAAAAAAATGCATAAAGACAATGCTCAAAGAAGGCTAACCAGCAGGAGTCATTCAAATTTAGCCATATAGCTATTCTCACACTTCTTATGGATGAAAAAGATAAAGATGAAAGAAATACTAGTGAAAATGAATAATAATTGACAATGCTTCATCTAAGAAGGCTAACCAGCAGGGAGTCATTCAAATTTAGCCATATAGCTATATTCTCTACTTCTACTTCTTATGGATGGCAGTTGCAATAAAAAGCAAGAGAAATGAAGATGAAAGAAATACTAGTGAAAAAATGAATAATAATTGACAATGCTTCATCTAAGAAGGCTAACCAGCAGGAGTCATTCAAATTTAGCCATATAGCTATATTCTCTACTTCTACTTCTTATGGATGGCAGTTGCAATAAAAAGCAAGAGAAATGAAGAAGATGAAAGAAATACTAGTGAAAAATGAATAATAATTGACAATGCTTCATCTAAGAAGGCTAACCAGCAGGAGTCATTCAAATTTAGCCATATAGCTATATTCTCTACTTCTACTTCTTATGGATGGGAGTTGCAATAAAAAGCAAGAGAAATGAAGATGAAAGAAATACTAGTGAAAAATGAATAATAATTGACAATGCTTCATCTAAGAAGGCTAACCAGCAGGAGTCATTCAAATTTAGCCATATAGCTATATTCTCTACTTCTACTTCTTATGGATGGATGGCAGTTGCAATAAAAAAGCAAGAGAAATGAAGATGAAAAGAAATACTAGTGAAAAAAATGAATAATAATTGACAATGCTTCATCTAAGAAGGCTAACCAGCAGGAGTCATTCAAATTTAGCCATATAGCTATATTCTCTACTTCTACTTCTTATGGATGGCAGTTGCAATAAAAAAAAAGAGAAATGAAGATGAAAGAAATACTAGTGAAAAATGAATAATAATTGACAATGCTTCATCTAAGAAGGCTAACCAGCAGGAGTCATTCAAATTTAGCCATATAGCTATATTCTCTACTTCTACTTCTTATGGATGGCAGTTGCAATAAAAAAAGCAAGAGAAATGAAGATGAAAGAAATACTAGTGAAAAATGAATAATAATTGACAATGCTTCATCTAAGAAGGCTAACCAGCAGGAGTCATTCAAATTTAGCCATATAGCTATATTCTCTACTTCTACTTCTTATGGATGGGAGTTGCAATAAAAAGCAAGAGAAATGAAGATGAAAGAAATACTAGTGAAAAATGAATAATAATTGACAATGCTTCATCTAAGAAGGCTAACCAGCAGGAGTCATTCAAATTTAGCCATATAGCTATATTCTCTACTTCTACTTCTTATGGATGGGAGTTGCAATAAAAAGCAAGAAAAATGAAGATGAAAGAAATACTAGTGAAAATGAATAATAATTGACAATGAATCTAAGAAGGCTAACCAGCAGGAGTCATTCAAATTTAGATATATGAAATGGATGGGAGTTGCTAAAAGCAAGAAAATGAATAATAATTGACAATGATTCATCTAAGAAGGCTAACCAGCAGGAGTCATTCAAATTTAGCCATATAGCTATATTCTCTACTTCTACTTCTTATGGATGGGAGTTGCAATAAAAAGCAAGAGAAATGAAGATGAAAAATGAATAAATACTAGTGAAAAAATGAATAATAATTGACAATGCTTCATCTAAGAAGGCTAACCAGCAGGAGTCATTCAAATTTAGCCATATAGCTATATTCTCTACTTCTACTTCTTATGGATGGGAGTTGCAATAAGATGAAAGAAATACTAGTGAAAAATGAATAATAATTGACAATGCAAAGGCTAACCAGCAGGAGTCATTCAAATTTAGCCATATAGCTATATTCTCTACTTCTACTTCTTATGGAAGTTGCAATGCAAGAAAATGAAGATGAAAGAAATACTAGTGAAAAAATAATAATTTGACAATGCTTCATCTAAGAAGGCTAACCAGCAGGAGTCATTCAAATTTAGCCATATAGCTATATTCTCTACTTCTACTTCTTATGGATGGGAGTTGCAATAAAAAGCAAGAGAAATGAAGATGAAAAAATGAAATACTAGTGAAAAATGAATAATAATTGACAATGCTTCATCTAAGAAGGCTAACCAGCAGGAGTCATTCAAATTTAGCCATATAGCTATATTCTCTACTTCTACTTCTTATGGATGGGAGTTGCAATAAAAAGCAAGAAAATGAAGATGAAAGAAATACTAGTGAAAAATGAATAATAATTGACAATGCTTCATCTAAGAAGGCTAACCAGCAGGAGTCATTCAAATTTAGCCATATAGCTATATTCTCTACTTCTACTTCTTATGGATGGGTTGCAATAAAAGCAAGAGAAATTGAATAATAATTGACAATAAAAAACCAGCAGGAGTCAAGAGAAATGAAGATGAAAGAAATACTAGTGAAAATGAATAATAATTGACAATGCTTCATCTAAGATGGCTAACCAGCAGGAGTCATTCAAATTTAGCCATATAGCTATATTCTCTACTTCTACTTCTTATGGATGGGAGTTGCAATAAAAAGCAAGAGAAATGAAGATGAAAGAAATACTAGTGAAAAATGAATAATAATTGACAATGCTTCATCTAAGATGGCTAACCAGCAGGAGTCATTCAAATTTAGCCATATAGCTATATTCTCTACTTCTACTTCTTATGGATGGGAGTTGCAATAAAAAGCAAGAGAAATGAAGATGAAAGAAATACTAGTGAAAAATGAATAATAATTGACAATGCTTCATCTAAGAAGGCTAACCAGCAGGAGTCATTCAAATTTAGCCATATAGCTATATTCTCTACTTCTACTTCTTATGGATGGGAGTTGCAATAAAAAGCAAGAGAAATGAAGATGAAAGAAATACTAGTGAAAAATGAATAATAATTGACAATGCTTCATCTAAGAAGGCTAACC